ACAGAGGTGATTCTGCTCCTCTACTCTGCCCTGGTGAGACCTCACCTGGAGCACTCAGTCCAGCTCTGGAGCTCCCAACACAAGAAGGATGTGGACCTGTTGGAACATGTTCAGAGGAGGCCACAAAAATGACCTGAGGGCTGGAGCAGCTCTCTTATGAGAACAGGCTGAGGGACTTGGGGGTGAGCCCTTAGAGCAGCTTCCAGTGCCTGAAGGGGCTCCAGGAAAGCGCGGGAGGGACTTTCGACAAGGGCTTGTAGTGAGAGGACAAGGGGGAATGGTTTTAAACTGAAAGAGGAGAGATTTAGGTTAGAGATCAGGAGAAAAATTCACTAGTACCCTGAACCCAGCAAAATCTTTCCAAAAAAACAAACTAAACAAAGACAAAACAGTCTTGCTGAGGCCACACAACAGCAACACCCACTCCTCATCCTATATATCTCTTCACATGGTTGCTCTACCACAGCTACCATAATTTTCCTGCTACAATACCTACGGAAAAAGTCACTTACTCCCAGGTATATAAACAGCACCTCTGGGCCTTACTTTACAAAGTACGATTCTGTTGAGTGAAGCTCTGCTTCCAGCTGGTTTCCCACAGAGAGTAGTTACTGTTTTCTTAAGCTGAAAGTAATTTCCCTTTCTGTCCATTTTTATCCAAGTTCTCCATTATTACACATCCACTCTTAGCACACCGGCATCTGCAGTTTGTCCTAGTATCTCCAAGTGGTTTATGGAATGCTATGTCTGTCCTTCCAGGAATTAAATAAAAGCAAAACCCAAACCAGCTGAAACTCAAAGTATCAACTTAAAGACTTTACCTTTGTAAGTGCTCTAAGCATCTGGCTATTCAACACATCTTGGGTTAAGCAAGTACTTCTCTACTGTTAAACTTAGATAGTAAATATGCAAAAAAATTAAGACAGGGGGTATAACCTCTAGTATTACTGTATTTTTTGGCACAAATAGCTTCTAATTGGAGGCCTGTTTTGTGCCATTTACCTGCCGAAGCTGTGTCAGATCAGATTTATTTCCCACCAGCACCACGGGAGTGTCATCGGTGCGACGCACACGATAGATGAGCTGTTTGAACTCACGCACTTCATGGAAACTGCGCCGGTCTGTGATTGAGTAACAGATGATAAAGCCCTCGCCAGCCCTCATGTACTGGTCTCTCATGGCTGTAAACTCTGCCTAGAAACAGAGAATCACATTTCAATTGCACAAACACAATTACTTGCAAAGGATGGGACACACAACCTGCATTCCAAATGCAGCTGAGCAGGAGCTCTGAACAAGCTGGTCACCTGTCATCTCATCCTGTTCCATACAGGACCAGGTTTTACCTATGCTGGGATTAACACCAAGTTTCCCTCACTACAGAAATCACACCAACATGTCATTTATCAGCCAACACCTCCTGCTTGTTGATCACAAACAGCAAGGAGAAAGCAGTGCATGAAACCAGAACACTATCTGAGCTGCCTCAATACAGACTGTACGATACAGATGCTCTAAGACACATGATGCTTAGAAAAAGTTAGACAGCTCAAAAATCAACTGGGAGGAAAAAACAAGCACAGTTTTACAGGATTTATCGCTCTACACCTGACCATTACAGGCTTCTTAAAACCTTCCCAATTCACTTATTATTACTCACTCACACACCTGTCCTGCTGTGTCCAAGATATCCAGGTTGGCAGGTTCGTCATCAATGCGTATCCGTATTTTATAAGCATCCTCTGTGAATCCACAGCAGGTCAGGAAGAGCAAGATCAGAATAAAATTGCAATACCCATTAGTCATCGATTCACAAAGACAACATGAAGAAGAATCTAATCTGGTAATAGTACTACATTAGTCTGATCTTTGTTTAACAACAAACTACATTTTTAATTGCTCTGGTATGATCTAGTATCCTCCTCAACTGTTTGCTAAAAACATAGAGTGGTTCAGGTTGGAGAGACCTTAAAGATCATCTAGTTCCAACCCCTCTGCCATGGGCAGGGACACCTCCCACTTCACCAGGTTGCTCTGAGCCCCATCCAACCTGCCCTTGAACTGTCAAGGTGGGATGGAGCTCTGAGCAATCTGGTCTAGTTGAAGATGTCCTTGCTCACTGCAAGGGGGTTGGACTAGATGACCTTTAGAGGTCCCTTCCAACCCAAGACATTCTATAATACATGTTATTTCTGACAGACAGGTGACCACTCTTGGACACCTGGGTGGAAAGCATGGAGTAAAAGCATCACATTTTTCTCAAAGTCAGAAAACACCTGTGCTTTGTGACAAGAACTGGTCAGCCCCAACTGCTGTTTTCTTAAAAATAATAAATATTCTGTCCCTCTAAACTACATCAGTCAGCTTCCAGTAAGGCAGCTGGTTTTCACACTTTTCCTTCAATAATGCAGATATTGGTTAAGATTTCTCTTAAGATTTGCTGCAAAAGCTGTGCAGACTCTAAAACACAGAGCACAATTTGGCCTGGCAAATTAACAGCAGAGAGCTGATCTACAGCACAGAGATAAGACTTTTTTTAATAAACAACTAATAATCACTTCCCAGCAGTTTTTCATCCTTGCCTGCCAACATGCAAACAAACATATTCAGGCCAGATATTGTCTCTACGGGATAGGAAAATCACAAAAGATCTAAAATCCAGGATATGTCTCCCAGTCTTCCCAGCAGTCTCAGAACTCTATAAACATCTTTAAATGAGTTATCTGAGGTACTTGGGTCCTCAATTTACATCCAAATTTCAAGCTTGCTTTAAATTCAGTACTTCAAAGCAATGGATTCCACAACAGCTTAACCTGTCAAGCGAGGGAGTGAACAGCACAGAGAAGGGAGATTTTTCTTACCAATTGTGGGATCATGATCCTCTGGAAACCGGTGACTGATGAACTGCATGGTCATGGCTGGAACAAAAACCGGAGACACAACGGCACAAGTCTCGGTCAACATCTACCCTTGCAGCGTGCAGCTCACAACACGCTTAAGCACATTATTTCACTACGAGCTAAAACATACTCAGGGCAAGACTTGAAGGAAATATGGTAGTTTAAATGGGTCAAATAACTCAGAAACGGAGAACTACGTCTCCGTCCTCCACGAAGCGCTCCATGACGAGTGGAAGAAACAAAGCTGGACCCAGCCAAAACGCGGAAGACGCTGATAAACCACCCCGAGACAGCCCGGGGGGCGAAGGGGCGGAACAGCGCCCAAAACCGGGCTGCTTTGGTCAGGATACGTGTCACCCCGAGGCTGCCGGGCCCGGCCCGGGGCGCT